CAGGTGTGTTCGATGCTCGACAACGACAACTTTAACACTTGCCACACCGCTTGCTCCAACACCAACCTTCCTTCCCCCCCACACACACACACACACTTCACACCAGCCGACAAGCGACGTTGCGTAAAAATTTATAGCGTTTCTAAGTAATTGGGAGTTCTTGTTTTTTTCTCGCCGTCTTTTTTGTGTCAATTGAACTGTTGCTGTGTTGCGGTCGGGTCAGCAGAGTTTAAGCTTAAAGCTGGCTGCGCAATTGGCCAGCCGGCTGTAATTTAAGCGCCGCACTGGGCGTAGACAGTGCACAGTGCACTGTGTGGCACGCCCAGCGCACTAGCATGTGCATATTTGAATAGCAACATGCCTCATATTCAACTAATTAGGCGAGTTTCGCAAATACATTTTCATTATTGTAATTTTACACTCCAGAGCAGTAGGAGAAACAAAAAAACTGCGCCAAGGAACAAGCGCAAAAAAGTAGGCAACGCGCAGGCAAACTTCATGCATAGCCCCTGCCCCTGCCCCAAGTCGCACGCTACACCCTGCATTAGTTAGGGGTGGCGCGTTGCAGCGGGCACTGACACATGTAGGCCGAGGCATTTGCATATGCATACGGAATATCTGGAGGTAAAATGCAAAAGCTACCACAGCAGCAAAAGCAGCAAGGGCGAGCTTGTCGTGCGCAGACAGGAGCAGACGTGTGAAATGCGAACAGGGAGGATGAGGCTCGGCTGTGGCTATATCTGCTGGTTGGGCATTTAAAAAAAAGTGACTGCATCGTAACCCTATCAAAATTGAACGAACACGTCAAAATTCGAAATATTAAAGAAACCTAACAAAAAAAAGAAAAATAATTGCATGCAAGCGCTTTAAATTGAAGCCAGAAAAAGTGTTTGTTGAACAAACTGAAAAAGCTAAGCAAATTGAATCAATTGAAGCTTGCTGGAGTGCTGGTAGGTTTATATTAAAGCGTGGCTGCAAATCAAGAAAGAACTGTCTGTAGTTCAGCTCACGAGCCAGCTCGCTGCCTTTGATTCGGCTCTTTAAGCAGGTTTTACAAATCGTTGAGCCGAGGCTTAAAAAATTCCAATAAAAATACTCCGTTTTCAGTTTTATTATTTACAATATTATTCGCAAAGTCGTACATTTTTTTATATAAGCAACTTTGAGCTATACTCAAGACACGTTCAAAAGCTACGTGCTATACACTAAACTAATGTAGATCTAATGCTCATCAAATGCCTATTGCTCCCAAACTATCTTCTGAAGGCTGACTGATATGTAATTCGTAATAGACCGATACACAATACATTAACTCAGATTTCATTATAGGGATCATTCACGCTTATTAAGTTAGCCGCTTAAGAGCTGACTGCTATGATCGCGGAAAACAACTTATTTACTGCGATTCCATTGAAATGATCAGTTGGCGCGCTCTTCTTCTTATTTGCTGCTCACAAATCGCTTTTTTATTGGGTTAGCCATTCAAAAGCTGACTTCGCTTAGTCTCATTGTGTGAGCCATTTAAGTGCTGACTGCTATAAACGCATAATTCATTGAGACTCCATTGCAACGATCATTTGGTGCGTACTGCTGCTGCCTTCTTGCTGCTGTCTTCTCAATCGCTCTCATTGATTGCGCCGCTTGAAAGCTGGCTGCTATGAACTAAATGAAGAGAGGCCTCGACAATCAATTGACAGATATCATTAGAATGATCATTAGGCGCGTTCTACTTCTTAAATGCTGCTGTCTTCTCACTCGAAAATGTTGTCTATGGTCGGACTAGTTGAGCAATGGCTTCAACCCCAGTTGAATCTTTCTCTCTCTTTGTTTGTCTATCCATCCACTTATTTAATATTGCTGTGTCGCAGTTTCTCGCCATTTCTCTTATTCTCTCTCTCCTTAAGCCTAAGCTCAAAACCATTAACACTTGTTTCTGTCATTTTACATGAAAAGCGGAAGCGCTTTTGTTTCTGTGCAACAAACAAGTTTCTTTGGGCCCAGAGTCAGTCGCTGCCACTGCCACTGCCGCTGCCCCTGGCCTAGTCAAGCTACAGCCCGGGCCCAAACCCAACTACCAAAACGCCCACTCACCTAGAAACGCGAACGTTGTCAGGGAGAGTGGAGGGGGGGGGGGGGGGGGGTGGTGGTTGGTTTTGTGGCGTATGCAGGACTTTTATTTTTTGACATGGGTATCCGTATCCTAGATTCATTTGTAGCTTTGCCTGTTTGCAGCAGCAGGCGCTCGTTTATTTGCTTGTTTTTCACTTAGACGGACCACCCTGCTCATCAGCCCGCACCGTGCCCCTCGTATCCTGCCCGATTCAAAAAAAAAAAAGAAGAAGCCGCCAGCAGTGTTAAATACTTGTACTATGTACATTATAACTCGAGCGGCTGGCATGTCAGGCAGCTGGATGAGGGTGCCGCTTGCATGTTGGACAGAAAACTTTTCCATTCTCTGTGCGGCAACGTCAACGTCAAGGCGTGGCTGTTGCCTACTTTTCAGCCCACGGGCATAACTTTGCCATTTAAAGGTGTTCACATTGCTGGCTTTGCATACGAGTGTTACACATGGCGACCAGACGGCGTGAAATGGATAATCTTTTATTTTTTCCAGACAGTTACGGCTACGAATTCAATTTTAAATAATGTTAAATGGTATTTTTTTACATATTTTCTTTGACATTATATTAAGATTTAATATCGCAAATTGAATTTTAAATAATGTTGAATGGTATTTTTTTTAATATTTCATTAAGATTTAATATCATTTCTTAAGGCAGGCACTCGCTGAGAAACTCTCTGGACTTTTTGCAAGCTGGTGAATATTTAGATTTTTTCTGTTTCGGGTGCCGGTTGCTCTTGGCTTTTTATTTTACCTTATCCATACTCTCTCTCTCTCTCTCTCTCTCTCTCTCTCTCTCTCTAGCTCATTCCATTTCTCTCTTTTCCTTTTACTCTTTTTAGCTTAAAAAAAGAAGTTACCAGCTTTTGTGTTTACTTTTATGAACCTCAAATATTCCTCCTTCGCTCTCGCTTGCACTTTCCCTCTCTCTCTGTCTCTCTCTCTCTGTTATTATATATCTTCTCTCTCTCACTCTCTTCCTCTCTCTCTCTCTCTCTCTCTCTCTCTCTCTCTCTCTCTCTCTCTCTCTCTCTCTCCTGCTTTTTGTACCTTTCAAACGTCTTAGTTCGCATAAATATGCTCATCTCTGGCACTGACGCGTTTATGCGTGAACTCTGTGATGCTTTATCATGCATACATGAACTGCCACGCCCCCCTTAATAAAAAATGAATGAGCATTCATGTGGTACGTGATTCAATGAGACTAACTGCATTGGCATCCACACAGTCTGAATCCTTTCGCTGCCAGTGTTCTATAGGTGTTTCGCAAGTTTCTTCAACAAAATTAATTTATAAATTTATCATAAAGTCGAGACCAAAAATCCAATGCACGCGCACAAATCGTTACACACACAAACGCATATGTATATATGTATATGAAGAATGAATCGAAGACATCGAAGAATTTTACGTTGGGCAAAGTCATCGACGCTGACGATGCTGGACGAGTATAATATGAGGATGAGGATGTGGATGAGGTTGAGGATGAAGCTGAGGATCTGGATGAGCATGTGGATGATGATGACTGCGCTTGCATAAACGAGTTTGCCTTCAAGTGTGTGAGGATGTATATATATATATATATATGTGTGTGTGTGTTTCTTTGGCAGTTTCGAATCAATGCGTGAGCCGCATTTTCAATGGGCTCGTCCAACCGCATCCTCCACACTCACCTTGTGCTCATCGAGCCACACATTTAAGTTATTTATGCAGACTCGCACATACAAAGCATGCAAAGATTCCAGCAATAGGAACAGGAGCAAGAGCAGCAGCTCGACTGGGCGCCCAGCCAGCGGCAGAGATGGGAGCTGGTAGTCTCATCTAGAGCATCTGCCCCCGGGCTGCATACAATTAGCTGCAACTGTAATTAAAGCAATTGTACCATAAATCTTTAGCCAATTTAATGGCAAACGCTTCGCTCACACCAGATGGTCTGCGGCCCACCCGAGGCGTATGTGCCAAGTAATTGTTGCCAAAAAAGAGACAAAAAAAAAAACAAAATAAAATAAAACCAAATTAATATAAATTTAATAGTTGGCTGGCATTTATGGCCCACACAGGAAGGAGCAGGAAAAGCGAAAGACTCGGGTGGTTAAGAAAAGTCATTAAATGCAATCACAAACGCCCGGAAAAAATGATGCGTCGTGTAATACCCTGGATTCCATGCAAGGTCTGCAAGTCGGTATTGAATCGAACCGTTTTGTACCCGAGATTCCAAATTTTAACATGCCTTGAGCCAAACCCCAAGCCGAGCTAGTTGAACCAACAACAATCGCACCTAAAGCAAGAACTTTTGTTTTTTGGGCCTTACCAGATTTCAGGTGTGGAAAAAGATTCACGAAGCGAACCTTAAGCTAAGGCATTTGGTTTGAACCGTAAACCAATTCTGATGTGATAGTTCATTGTTTTCAAAACCATCGGATAGTTTTAGGTTTTAGTCCAGTCTATCGCACATGTCTTCATTACGTTGCTAAATTGAGGTAAAACATCTGAAAATAAGATTAAGAAAATAGGAAATAGGTACTTCTTCTTTAATTTGATTTCAATATAGAAAACTTCCGTAAAGTTGTTAATATATATTAATATTTAAACATTTTGTTTAAGCAAGCATTTAAATGTGTTGAGCCCAGATCTGCCTGCGAATATGCCCCATGCAGTTGGGAAAATATATATAAAAGATTAAAAATGAAATCCATTTAGTCGGTACTCTTGAAGCGGCCACACTTGGCCGCCATTCAAAAGCAATTGAAATTCCAAATTAATAACCGCAGCCAGCCGACTGAAGCTGGCGAGGCAGCAGGCCAAGAGCCAAGAGCCAAGCGCCGGCACGGAGTGGGCCTGGAGAAAACAATCAGCAGGCACACACATAAGGAGAGCAGCATATGTCTAAAGTGTCTATTATAGACTGTTTGATACTGTGCCAACATCGGGGCCAGCTTCGAGTGATAGAAATGTCGGGAGCGAAGCCCAAGACCAGCGGCAAGTCCAAGTCCAAGCTGAAACGTAGTTCGCCACGTTTGTATGACACAAGTGACTTGCCATCGTTTATGCAGCCGCAGAAGCTGTCATGGAATGTGACGAAAGAGCAGCGCCTACATCGTCCCAAGTCCGAGATTGTGCGGGAGCTGCGACGATTGCGCTCCCTGCCAGTGCGCTCCGACGATGATGAGGAGGAGCAGGATCCGACCGCAGCAGCAGCGGCAGCAACTGAGCCCATACGCACGCTGGAGCAGCTGGATGCACTGCGTCTGACGCGCCATCGCATCGAGCAGCTGCTGCACAGCACCACATTCGAGCAGGCTGTGCGCAGCTGCTTTGTGCGGCTGAACATTAACGCGATCAATGTGCTGCCTGAGTATCGCATTGCCGAGATTATGGACATCACGGAACTGCCGGAGGGCTACTATGTGGGTAAAACGCCCACCAATATTGCGCTTCAGCTGCGCTACGAGGACCTCGTGATGAAGCACGAGCTCAACGACATCTCCAACATGGCGTTCACGCGCGAGGAGTTCGATTTCTGGCACGATAATTGCATCTGCCAGGGCTTCGAATGGCCAACCACGGAACTCATCTCACAGAAGAAGATCGAGCTTTACAATGCGCTCAACAGCGAGGGCAAAATAACATCCTTGCTGAAGCACAACGGGCTGCTGCCACTCGCGATGCCGATGCGTCCAGTGCCCAAAGGCGGGCTGCTGGAGCGTCTGGGCGGTGTCTATCCATGGAAATTGCAGCGTCCGCCGCCGCCTCCGCCACCGCCACCACCAGCAACACCAAATCCTGAGCTGGAAGCTGCAGCTGGCAGCGAGGGATCTGGCGAACCGACAAGGCCCGAGCCCGGCTCGGAGGAGCTGGAGGCACGGCGCTCAGAGCCAATGATACCCAGCGCTTAGCCTCCTGGGCGAATCGACTGAAATTCCTGTTTGCGCATCTAAATTCGGAAATAAGTATATTGTTTTAGTTTTGGTTGGACAAATTTATTGAGTTGCAGCTGTAGAATTCAAAAATAAAAATCTTACAAAATCAGATCAATTGAAGAGGGAATATACATAAAGCTATTCCGACTGATTGATTGACTGACTGATGGATGCCCAATTTACCACAAGAAAGCCGAATTTTTTACACGCACGTATGCGTGTTTTAGGACACTTCCACTCTTACATGTGAAAAATTGGGGGAAAACGTTTAATGAATATTTTTTGACTACCATTTGATGAGCTTCAAACATTTTCAAAGAGCTTTGTATCAATGCGCTCAAGACGTGTTTCCACTCTTTTGGGTGAAAAATGCAGATGCAAATTTGAACGAGGGAAAGTTCAAGTTTCGTTCAACACGTTTTGAAAATATATTAAATTAAAACTAAGTAAAATATTCACCAGAGTGCGCGGGCAACTCTCAAAAAATAAATAAATAAAATATTATTCGAAACGTCATTCACTGACTGCGGCAAATCCACTTCGGTGAATACAAATGACGGCTCAAGGTGAAACGGCCTGGGAAAAGCAATGAATTTGAAAAGGAAATTAGCCCGGCACAGATGTTAAGTATTTTCCTACCTAGTTTCGTAAACGCACAATATTTTGAAGCAATCATAGAAGTCGGCGAACAGACACACTTTTCGTAGCACGCAGTTCTGTATAATTTCTCAGTTCAGTTCGATTGTAGCTCTAACAAGCAACGTGCTTATAAATTTATATATATTTTTATACTTTTTCCAAAAATCAAAGTTAAACTTTTGGAAAACCATAGAGATTATTCTTACACATTTTTATACATATATATATATACACATTACATATATATATGTTTTGGATTTCTGAGTTCAGTAAGTGCTTCAAGCAGTTTCAACTGGCTTGCATACGAGTTTTTTTTCATTGTCATTTGAGTTTGGTTAAAGACAATAATTAGTCACGTAAAGGGAAGTTGCTGGTTCGAAGCGTGAACTAGAGCCAATCGATATGGCGGATGAGGAGAATCGCACGCAAGTGGTACGCCTATTGGGCGACATGATGAATGCCCACTCGGACGTGGTGCGGCAATCCACCGAGGAGCTGACTAACCTATACACAGATCCAGACAGCACGGTTCAGGTGTGTATGGTGCTAGGCAATGTTGGCAAGCTGCCGGCAATGCGCAAATGTGCCGGACATATACTCAAGAATCGGCTGGGCCAGCCGGACGTCTGGAAGAACTTGCTGCCCAACCAGCAGAAGGAGGCCCAGGATGTGCTACTCGGGGCGTTTAAGAGTTTGACCATGAACGATGATGAAAACCTGCAGCTGACGGTTGTGCGTAATGTTGGGCTCGTAATGGGCCTGCTGCTGGATGCTGAGAATGCTGAGGCAGCGGCCTGGAACGATCTCATCATAGATCATGTGGAGGAGCTGTGCGTATCCAGTGAAAAACTTAGCCAGCTGCTGGGCGCCATTTGCTTCAAGTTACTCGTGAAGACATCGCCGGATATGTTCGAGAAATATTTGGTGCGTGCCAAGAACATATTCGTGCGTACTCTGGAACTGGCCAAAGAGCAGGGCGAGTTGGCCACGCCGGCAACGGAACATTTACTGTCTGGCTGGCACATGGCCATACCGCTGTTCCGTAGGCGTCCCTGTGACCAAGAAGAGCTGGCCGCCACACTGCCTCTGATCATGCAGATGACGCATGCCTTTGCCTATCAGCCGAATCCGAAACGCAGCTGTCGAGGATTCGATGTGCTTGCAAAGCTGAACAAGCATCTGCCGGAGCTAATGTGGCCGCAACTGAAGCTGGTGCTCGATGAGCTCTTTCTGCTGGCGAGCGACACAAATCTGGGTGATGAAATCCGTGTCCAGGCCATAATGTCCTTGAGGAACTGCGTGCGCAGCAAGCGGCGTCACATCATCCGGTTGAAAATGATGGACAAGCTGCTGATGACCCTCTATCGCCTTATGGCCATCAAGCCGGCTCTGGATGCGGATGGCGAGGAGCTGTACTTGGGCGACACGCAGGAGGCGCAATCGCCGCTATCCGAGGCCGCCCAAACGGTGATATTTGTTGCCGCCGAATCGGACACCAATCGCGTTGCGCTGCGTGCCCTGCGCCTGATGCAGCCGCAACTAGAGCAACAGCGGTCGGCGGTGCACCGTGTGGCCGCCCAGCTGTTTCTGGCTCTGATGGCCAAGGGATTTACAGACCTACTGGCTGATGCTCCATTACGCAGCTTTATTTCGGCGGTCGAGACGGGCATTCATGATGTGGAGCCAATGGTACGCAGGTCAGCACATTTCGCGCTAGCCATTATGGCCGAGAATCTGCAGCCGGAGATTACCGTGATGGCGCCCAAAGTGCTGCCCCTGTTTTGTGAATTCTTTGATCAAATGTCGCCAGAGCAGCGCATAGCCGACCATGAGACGGAGTCACAAACACGCATGTTCTGCACACTGGAAATTTATTGTGAGAGCCTTAAGCGGGAGGCACTGCAGCCACATCTGGGTGAACTAATGAAGCGGCTAATGGGTGCTTTGCAGCCGGAAAACAATTCCATTTCGCTGCGCCAACTGGCGCTCAGTGCCGTCGCCTCTTTAGGCAAAATTTCAAAAGATTTATTTAGGCCGCACTTTGATGAGGTGCTGGCCATTACGCTACCTCTGGTTAGGGAGAAGCCTCCGGAGGAACGGATGCTTCTACGAACTCAAGCTATACAGGTTAGTTTATTGATAAGCGCCCTTCAATGCAATTTTGTGAATTTACCTCTTTCAAATCTTTCTTCCATTTACTTCGCCTTTCTTTGCGATTCTCATGGCCTCAAGTAAGGCTCAGAAGGTTCTAATGGTTCGTTCACTCTCTAAAAATTGAAAACCCCATTGCAGGTAGTCAATATGTTGAGCAACGTTGATTCTGAGAAATTCACTGAGCATGCTCCGATGCTGATGGACAGCTATTTGGAGATGACGCAGCACATGACTAGTACACAGGTCTTCATGTTCGACATGCTCGCGATGCTGTCCAACTATGTGCCGGAACAGATTCGAGTGAATTTTGCATTTCTTATAATTGGAGTTTTAAGTGCAATTAAGGACGGCAGGGACAGCGATGACGAGAAGGACGAAGACGGGTTTGATGCCGAGACCGATGCAGATGCAAGTGTCTGTGCCGAAGAAGACAGCATTGGGGACGGGCACGGCGATCAGACGGGAGAGGGCAACACAAGAAGTATCACCAGCAGCATTGACAGCTTAGGCACTACGGCTGCACCCGATGAGGCACTATTGTGCCTCAAGACATTGGCTGTCAACATGCCGGATACGGTAATGCCCTATATATCGGAGGCAACGCGCTGTGTCTCTTCGTACACGGATTCGCAGAACGAGCTGGGCAAACGGGCTGCCTTCGAGGTGCTGACGGAATTTGCCACTCTTCTCTACCGCAAGGGCGACAGGAAGGAGGCCAAGCGCCAGTTGAACGAACTAATGCCCGATTTGGTTGACTTTGTGGAAACGGCCAAGGAGACGGCCAATGTTGTTGGCGCCATGAACTGCATAACGCAATTCCTCAAACTGTTTGGGTCCGAGGCTCTGGAAGGTGAGGGATTTGCCGATATGATCATAAATATTGTGCGCAAAACCCTGCGTCGCAAGCTCAACTGTCAGTTCGATATTGGTCAGGACACGAAAATGTCCTTACTGCAACAGTGTAGCCAGGCCATGCATTCCGAGATCCAGGTAATGGAGGCCGCCGGCGAGATGCTGCCAGTTTTTGGCCAATCGATGCGTAGGCGCCAATTTGCCGGCCATTTTCACAGCATTAGCAATCGCTTTCTGAAGAGCCTGCGCCAGTGCAAGCCCACTGGCCAGATCACGCCGCATCTATACTTTCTCTACAATCTCGTCTATCGCTGCATGGAGCCGCTGGGCGTCATCGCCGAGCAGTACTACGACGTGCTCTGCTATAGCGTTGTCGACTGCATGATGGACGACAAGCCGCATGTGATTCAGTTTGCCATCAACTTGATCAACTGGATGCTCACGCACGCCCATGACAAAGAGAACGTGGAGACCATCATCACGGCCACCTCACAGGTGTTTATCGATGCCCTGAATACCAACTCGCCACTGGCCAATGAGAAGCGGGAGCAGGTTGCCGCAATTCTGGCGCGCATGATGATGAACTGCGAGACCCTGTCCACCGAAGAGATTCTGCCTTTGCTGTACGGCAATCTTCCGTTTTGCCACAACTTCGATGCCTATATGCAAGTGGTCCCCGCTCTGCGCCAACTCCATCAGCAGAAACCAGCTGTGCTGGAACCATATCTCAGCCAGACTCTAAAAGTGCTGCTCGAATCGCTGGAGAAGCACCAGCTGCCCAACGAGGACACGCGTCAGACTGCCATCGAGTTGCTGGGTCTCATCAAGGTCGATCAGACGTCACTCTACGATGATGTCGGCCAAAAGTTTCCTGACGCTAGTGCCTTAATCACTTAAGAAAAGTATTGTGTATTTTCTTACACTGGAAAATACTAAAGATTATAAAAAATACTTAATGAAAAAAGGGAATTGCAATTCGGGACGGGGTAATAAAAAGTATTAGGTTGGGCCAATTAATTACAACACGGGATCTCAATTGGTACGAACATTAAAACACACTCAACAAAATTCTGGTGCACTTACTATCGGTAAATAAAATCCAAATTTCAGTACTTGAGCAAGTTTTATTGCGGTTTGTCGTTATGCTATCTAAGCATTGTGAAACGCTATTCCTAGCTTAGGCCTTGCATGGAGAAGTGGGGCCATCTCATTAACTTTAACTTTGTATAGCCCGCAATTTAAATTTACAATACTTTCCATTCCAGCTCGCCTTATTTCTAAAATAGGGCGAAAGATTGTAACGGCAGCTTAGCGTGGATTTAGGGTATCTAATAGTCGACTCGAGCCTCCTCACTTTCCTATTTTTAGTGTTTTTTACAGTGTATAGCATTTCGGCCAGTGCTTAGAGCGCAAGTATTTCAGCTAAAGGGATTTGGAACGTGATCAACCTTTTATACGCGCTGTCAATGCTCTGGCT